ATTGAAAAGGAATTTTATTTATATACTTTTGTACATGTAAAACACATATATCTGCAACAATGTTTACCCTAATGAGCTGACAACCGGTGCACCACTATTGTTGTGCCAAAACTATACAGGATGGAATGCAAAGAATTTCAATAGTTTAACAATGTTGAATTTATTTCAGGAGAGGAAATACTAAACAGCAACTGTCAAACATTGTACATATATGACATGGAAACATGATATAATGACAACCATATAACTATATATACAAACTAATTTAGACAATGCAGATTATACAATTCTATTATTCATGTATTATACAATTGTTTTAACTGTTTTGTAACTTATTTCATAGAAAACAGAAATAATTTGATTTAGAATATAATTGTGTAATAATTATTTTTAACTTGATGTTTGTCAACTCTATGTAGATAGATATAACAAAGTATAATGGGTGATTTGAGATTAACAAAACATCAATATTACAACAACTGTCTGTTTAATCAGTCTGAACAATTGGACATCATAGATTTCTAGGAACTTATTCATTATGTTAGTCATTACAAGAGAATCCATGTCTAATTTTGTCTAGGATCTTCTAGCATTTATCATTTGAACCTTTTTGAATATGTAATATTTTGGTAGATATGAAACATGAACAAAACTTGAAGACTTATTTTAATTTATTTGATACCAGTTATTGAAGATGATCATAGTACCCTTTGTCAATGTGTAAATTAGACTAACAGAAAAACAACAAACTGAAAGTTTTATAAACTGTATACAGCCCTGGATTTGTTTAGTGAGCCCAAAAATTGTCTATTTTTACATGTTTTAAGACAACTGAGTTGGTCACTAAATTTGGGTACATAATATTAATGGCAGAGTTAGAAATTAGGGTGTGTGTATATACTAAGAAACAAGTTCTGAGTAAATACTTGTATATTTTGATGTGTACTTGGTTTCTTCAAACAATAGTTTTAATTAACAATCAATCCTGAAACCACAAATCAGTCTTGGAAGTTAAAATGAGAAATTGCTAAGTATATGAAAAACAGCACAGACTATAGAACTGACTTAACCATGTTATTGTCCATACTGAGACCAAAGCAATGAACAATCATGATTAAATAAAACTGGATGGCTTCCCCTAATGCAATTTCATAACGAAGTTATCTTGTTTACAAACAGCAGCAATGTTTTTTTTCATCAATACAAACAAAATGTACAAATATATCTTTCTACAAAGTCAGTTACCTCTTTAACAACTAATAATAATAATGCTATTACTTCTTTGCTAATCAGATGAAATAATGAAATTTTTCTCTAAAGCAAAATGAACCAATGCAATGGTCACATACAGACAGGATCAATACACAGTCCTAAACACTATATCCCTGAGATGACTTCCAATAATAACATACAAATTTAATCACAAATTCCAATAGAGTCATTATGATGGATTATTCAGGAGCTTGAACTCAATTATGACAACAGAGGGTATGACACAATCTACCATTGAGTATGTAAATGAACGAGATTTATCTTGTAAAACAAGAACCAAATATATGGACCTGAATGATTTATGGAACTTCAAAGACCTGTAAAAATAATTCAATTTTCAAGCTTTTGAATCTGGTCTTCTTCTGTTATCATGGTTATACTGCATAAATCTATAAATTGTAATTGTTTCCATGATTTATAGTCTTTCTGTATTGAATATTATAATAATTGATAGGGAGATATTTGAAAACATTATGTAACCTCTAGCTTGACGGAGGGCTGACAACTAAGGCTGAGGCTAAAATTTGAAAATCTACTGTACAGGACTTGTGTATACCCAATACAAAATTCAGGATCATTAGGGTGTTTAAGTGTTCTGACTACTGCAAGCAATTTTGATTTTGACCAAATTTAATCTCATGTTAATCACTTCTGATCTTTTTTCATAAATTTTTTTTCATACATATAAAAATAAGATGTGGTATGATTGCCAATGAGACATCTCTCCACAAGAGACCAAATGACATAGAAATTAACAACCATAGGTCACTGTACAGCCTTTGACAATGAGCAAATTTACGTGCATCAGGCATGTGTATTTTTTTCATAAATTTCATTCTTTTCTATTCTTGTTTCATATTCGTATGTTATCATTGTCATGTACTTGATGAGTTCAAATGATGCCCTTAATAAATCATGCAATGATCTAGCACCATCATTTTTGATTATGCCTTGTTAGAATCAACCAAATCATAAATTTATCTCAAAACCCTAAATGTAGTTTAATGTACACTTCAAAGATCAGTGAAAACAATCACTAGATATAAGAAGATGTGGTATGAGTGCCAATGAGACAACTCTCCATCCAAGTCACAATTTGTAAAATTACTATTTATAATATATACGTGTACAATGTATGTACTTTTTTCTGGATCTAGAAAAGGGTATTGCTATGATCATGATGATACCTTAAACTAAATGTATTAAAAATAGGAGAAAATGAGATCATCTCATACAAGTCAAACATGTACAAATCACAGCATGTGCCATTATCTTTACGTCTATTCTCAATAACATAATGTCTTCTAATACACCATATGTTTTCATTTCAATAAGATTATCTTATTTTTCAGAAGGTATACATGTATAACACAAAAATTATTTATGTTAATCATGTTAGGCCAATTAAAATTAATTGATAGATTTTCATCCCCGCCCGCCCCTCTGAAATCGTCCCGCCCCGATTTTTTTTATTGTAACAAATTTACGATTTCCGGATTTTGTTCATTTCCGTTACCGGAAACCACCGATAATTTCGTTTCATTCATAACTTCCTGTAGCAAATTTCGGTTTTCGTATTTCTTCGAGTAATTTAACCAAAATGATTAAGTCGAAATATTCTGCTGCTCTATGATGACAGCATTATCTTCCGAGAAAAGAGATTGCTTACGAGAAGGGCATGAAATATTCGGGTTACGAGTGACAGGCGGTGTCCAAGAACGCAAATCGCGGTCAGTGATTAGAAACCTGTGGATTTTTTTATTCATACAATGACTTTGTGTCAGGAAATTTGGACTGTGAATGATATCCAAAGCACAAGAATCGTGGAACACATTGCTGCAATAAAAATCATGACTGGGATAGAGAAATTGACACAAGCACGAACTTGTGCGATCTAAGACCATATATTGAGTACAAAAAAGTCGGCCAATGTAATGCTATGTCTTAAAACTTTTCCAGATACACAGGGTTATCTGTACTCAGAGTAAATTTTGAGGTGAAAATGCAGCCCTTGTAGCCAAAGGGTCCACATGAACCTTAAAAGCATAAACCATAGTATTTGCAACATAGTTTGAGTTTTTATTTCACTCTGTACTCATAATACTTGTAATGGGCACTACAAAGTACTACTTAGAAAGCAAAATGAATTTGATGTAGGTAGTCTAAAAGAGAACATTTCTCCACCTTTTTGCTATTTACTAAAAAAAAATTTCTAAAGTGGCAATCACATGTAGAACAGTGGTTGCCAATCCAAAATCTTTATTAAGACTTTGAAAATTTATGTAGAATTCCTTATATATACATGATATAAGCTAATATTACCCTTGCATATGCACAGTCTGATTGAAACCAGCCCCCAATATCTACAAAGGCAAATGGAAAGTGGGGGCTGGTTTTAATCAGACTGGCATATGAAGAACACGTCACAAAAGGGTTTCGGAGGAAATAAAAATTAAAAAATAAAATCCTCCCACCCGCCCCATTTTTTTCAAAAATTTGGATGAAAATCTACTAATTAATTTTAGTTGGCCTTAATGATACTTAATCATTTTCTTTGGGGTGAGAGGGTGGTTTATTTTACAAAAGTATATAATATATATATATATATGGTTTTCATTTCGGTGGCACATATGTTTATTTCAACTACAGGTATCTTAGTTTCTATTTTTAAATGAAATTAACGGAAATAATGCCCAAAAGGACAGTCTATACACGTATAGTTTTGAGTCTACTATAGTCACTAATTACAAAGTAAAGTGGCATTGTATTAAACACCTGGAGGACCGCCTGTTAATTTACCCAACCGGTATCAAAATTTAAATTTCCCTAGCATTCCACGGTTTAAGACCCAAAATTAATGCCTGACATATATTCATTTTATATCTGACAAAGAAGACCCTGGCATATTTTTAAGACTAGACCATTTAAGAAATGCAAGTCTGAAATGAATCAGTGGCGGATCCAGAACTTTTTATAAGCATGATAAGGGGGGCCCCACTCCAGTCATTCTTCAGTGATTCCCTATATAATCAACCAAATTTTTCCCACAAAAAGGGGGCCCTGGCCCCCATGGATCTGCCTACATGTATGTAAACATGGTGAATTTAAGTTCTATCTAAACTTATCATATGTCAGGTATGTTATTACTTCTATCAAGGATTTGTATAGTATTAGTCTTACTATACAAATCCTTGCTTCTATATGGACCAAAAAATTTTATGGGAATATTATTTTCTCCTGCGACTGTTTCTTATTTTGAAAGGAAGAAAAAAGGTCAAAAAGTAAATTAAAAGTTACACATTACAGTAACAGAATTTCAGTTATTATTTGGTGTGGGTTTTTTATTTTCATTTTCTTATTTTTGGGGATAGGGATAATTATTTTATTGTGCTCCAGACTTGTTCTCTTTTTCAATTCAAATGCCAATATTGCCTGGGACCAATAGATTAATGTGGTGCACCTAAATTACATTGTATTCTCTTCACCGGGAGAAAACTATGTGCACAATAATACCACATTTTGGTTCGTACCTGGGCTTTTTGTATAACATGTATAAGCTTTTAAATAACCGGTTTTATTTGTAATGTCTTGAGAATATTCTGAGTTAAAGGGAATTTTCTTCAGACAGGAAAACAATTTTCTTAGTTTAAATGATGATTAAAATATAAACACAAATATATATAATCAAGCACCTGTTCGTGAAATACGAAGCTAAATTATTAACTTACCCGACATACAAATTACGTATTCTGTTAAAATTAAACATAATAAATATAAATATGTCCTTCGTATCATTTTTAAGCCTTCATGTATTTAAAGTATTCCAGTAAAACAATAAATTGTCAAACAGATCGTCGTCGAGTAATGGTAAAATGGCTGGCTAGTTTGTGTTTATGCTAATGCATGACGTCATTTGTGTATTTCCGGTTATCGACCAGGTGAAAATTCTCCATGAAGTTTTACCATAAAAATTTCCTCTTTCGTATTCGGATGATCTAAAGAACCAATTAAATCTATGTATCAGATTTTAAAATAGTTTATGTAATAAAATATACAAACGAAAATCATTGAAAGAAAATATTTGTGTACAAAATAACCAATGCTATTTTTTATTTATTTTGTTCAGAGACAATTTGTAAACGAGTTTTGGTAAGTGTATTGCTATAAATATATATTTTTTCATTGTTTCTAAATAAAGTGAAATTCTGACAAGGTTTTTTTTTTGTGTCATGGTAAATGTATTGCTATAAACATTTTTTTTTCGTTGTAGTTAAATAAAGTGAGATTCTGACAACCAGTATTTTATTTTTGTGTTGAATAATTTTTAATCATGTGTTGGTTAGTGTATTGTTATAAATATTTCTTTTTTATTGTTTCAAACGGAATTGGGATTCTGACAACGTTTTTTTTTTATGTCATGATTGAATAATTCGTAATCATGTTTTGGATAGTGTATTTCTATAAACATTTTTTTTCATTGTTTATGAATAAAGTGAGATTCTGACAACGTTTTTTTGTGTGTGTGTGTTGAATACACCTTATAGCAGTTTCGATCCAGGGCATTTATTTCCATATTAGAAGAAGTTTGGAGGTACACTATCTATGAGGTAAAAAAAACATAAGTATATATATATATTTCATTTTATAATGCAAGTTAAAACAACAATCATGATTATTAAACACTCAACAATAACACCAAATTAGGCCACCAATGGGTCTTCAACACAGCGAGAAAATCCCGCACCCGGTGGCGGGCTTCAGCTGACCCCTAAACAAAAATGTGTCTAGTTCAATGAAAATGGACGTCACACTAAACTCCAAAACATAAAAATGAACTAAAGTATAAAAAATGCGGCGGGGTTAAACATGTTTTGTTAGATCTCAATAACCCTCCACCTATACCTCTAGCCAATGTAAAATAAACAAACACACAGCAATACGCACAGTAAAACTCATTTAAAAGAAGTCCGCGTCCGATGTTAGAATAGGTAACAAAAGAAACTAAGCAAAAAGACAATGATACATAAATTAACAAAGGACTACTAGCAGTTACTGACATGCCAGCTCCAGACCTCAATTAAACTGATTGAAAGATTATGTCTTCATCATATGAAAATCAAGCACAATTTCTCCCGTTAGGGGTTTAGTATCATACCATCATAAAATATACTGAGAAGAACATAACCCCGGGGTCCCGTATCATGCCAACAACTGGTTTTAGAATAAATGTGTTTATTTCCGATGCAAAGACCATATGAGTGAATCAATATTAATACCAAAATATACCATCTTTAATGACCTGACAACAGACCCCCTTCCATAGTCATGAAAATTCAAACCTGCAACAGTTCTTTATACTTTTAATCTTTACAACAACAATAAAAAACATGCATACAATTTCTATTTCTATTTTTATTATTCAATTGAATATTGCATCAGAAGTGTAAATAGAGCTTCAAATGGGGAAGTTGAATAAAGAAAAACTTATGACTTCATCAGGAAAGTTCTTTTTTTTTTTTTTTTTTGGGAAATGCCCGTTATGGTCTCATTGTCGATTCATTTACCACGCTTATATTCAATTTCAGCACACTGTTCTTATGCTAAATTGAAAAGTTAGTAAATTAACTTCAGTTAAAACAACTTTCCTGGGAGAACATGTTGAAACCTTAAGATTTGGATCTTACGAATTGTGCCGAGCAGAACAAGGCGAAAATGAATGATGTCTCTCATGCCAACAAAATTACGTTTTTTTTTATCGTAAGGGGAAAGGATGGGTATGGGTCGCCTGAGATCGCATCTCCAGGACATAAAGGAAAATTATTCACGTAAAGACATATTAAAACTGCCACACTTGACTCCGCCAGATATAATCTAAAAAAACTATTGAAATATATGCTAAATCATGTGTTTTACGATTAACCATGTAAGGAAACAGCTATTAGTATTATTGTCTCGCCTTGACGGAGTCAAAAAGTTAGACTTAGGTACGTATGATTTTTCGGGCAGCTTCAACAATGTGTTAATGTTAGTGATTAGGTCAGTTTTAAGTAAACCACTAATGGCAAATCAATGATATATATTTCGTATGCAGTATACATAAGGATTGGCACATCTTATTTCCATTGAGATAATTTAGCCCTGCACTCTCAGGCATTACCTATTGACTTTCGCGCTTTTGCATAGTTTACATGTTGGAAGAAATATGACAAGGCCAGTTTAAGGGACTTATAATTAGTCAAAGATATTTGGCATGCAATTGTAAAAGCAATTATTTGGCACCACCCGCTCAGTCATGGTCTATTGACTAAAACAATTGCATAGTTCACAGGGCGACCTACATTTGCCCGAATTTGAATATGACAAGCATTACGTTTGCGCGAAGAAATGATATTACGTTTGCGCAAAGGAGTAGGTCCGATAAGGGCCGATTTTGGCCTCAAAATTCAGGTTCATCTGATGAAAGATTTTAGACACTTTTTAAACACTTAAGTGTCTACTTCAGCCGATTCAATTAGTGTATGTGAAAGATTTGAACTGATTTAGTCATTAAAGACGCTCAAATTCAAGCTTTAATATGAAAAATCTATCAAATATGCCAAAAAAGGGTCTTACCGGGCCTACTCCTTTACTTGTAAATTTACCTGAGTTTTAACCTGTGATTTAATCCTGGGAACAATCTGATTTGTACGTTTTTGTTTTAGGAAAATGAGTTATTTCGTTGGTTGTTTGTTTTTCGTTTATTATTTTGAACATAAATTGGCTATCATACTACATCTTCTTTTTTGATATATTGAAATATATTAAAAAAGTCTTTATTCGTTTAAATAAATATTTAAAAGCACTACATTTATGTACAAGAAAGTTTTGAATAAAATACAGTGAATATCCTGAAAGAAACATTGAAAGCATACAGTCATGAATAAAACACAGTATACATATATATAATATATACGGGAACTTTTTACCAATCAGTTCTTGCCTGGTACTTAATTTTGTACGATAGAGATTTCAGATAACATTGGCGGGAAATTTTCCCAGTCTGAATATCAACATAAAATTTTGAACAGTAAACTTCTTTGTCTGTGCGCTTTACAAGAGCTTGGTTAACGCTACTGAGAATTTGAATGTCAGTAGTCGCCTGAACTTGCAGTATAATCTCAATGAAGGTGTAGATGGCTGGATGAGTAGAATAAAGCTGTTCATTGTTATAGCTGTGAAAAGACTCTTTGGCCCATTGTTGGTATGTTTTGTTTCTTCATTAGGCATTAGAAATCATATTTTTTTTTAATTTCGGAAATCATAATTTGTTTATAAAAAGTCAATGGTTTATATTTTATGAAAAAAATAGAAATCAATCCACGCAAACGTAGTGACTTTTTAACAGGTAAATTTCGCTCCAACGTAATTGCGTTTTGCCGCGCAAACGTAGATTTTTTTTCGTGCAAACGTAGGACGAATTCGCGCAAACGTAACGCGCCGAGTTCACATGTTAAAGTTGTGATTAGGTAAGTTTAATGGGAACCACTTATGATAAGCCAATGATACTTGGAACGCAGTTGTAATAGCATTGGCATATTTTATTTCCTCGGAAATTATTTGACCCTGTACCTTCAGTCATGGTTCAGTGACTTTGAATATTTTGCATATTTTACATTTCAAAGTATTGTTATTTTTATTTCAATGTTTGTACTTTACTATCAAAATGACACACAGGCGAAACATATCTCCATCTGGGTCAACAGTTTATCAGTGTTTTATCGTATGAAAAGAGGTATAATCAGACAAGTTCCGAGAAAACCCGCATAAACTAAGACATCAAACCATAAGTCCCTGATGTTGTCGTTCTTCATGTCCAACAAACAAACAGAAGATGGTAAATGACTCACATCAAACAAAAATTGAAATAAAGTTTGAAGTAAAAAATGATGACACAAGAGATATAGATAGGACATCTGAATCAAGTGTTAGACACTTTTCCTGAATGATATATACTGATTTAGTGTATTAATCAAAATAGCTATAACTTTTGCCTGTTTGAAATACAGAATTGCTCAAATGTTGTTAACAAAAATCGATGCCCCCATCTGAAGTATTGAAAAATTGGAAACCCCCTTTCCATTCCCAAAAATTGTCATGCCCCATTAATTTCCTTCCGGCCCCTCCCCTTTTCAGGTTACAAATGACCGGTCTCTTAGCCCCAGCCTATCATTGTGGAAATTTCCCAATGAACGGCTTAAATATATATAAAACTGGTATGTTGCTTGTCATATGGGGTCCATTGTATTCAGTACTGATTTTCCACGAAATGACTGATCTTGACTGACATGTGGAATACTCTGTTATATTCTGTATAGTCTTGTCAGAATTTCCTAATGGACATTCTCCAAAATAGTCAAGCGTAGCAATCATACTCCATTGAACCCGGTAAGGAATTAAATCAGCATTACTTTTTGCTGGCATACCTATGTTCCCCGACTTATGCATACCTATTGGTCACAAGATCCGCTTACTTTTTTTCAAGTTGAGGGTTTAGTTGTATAAACCGTATTTGGCTTGTGCTTATATAATAAGTACATACATTGTTTTTTTTTCTGTGATCATATGAAGAGATAATAATAAATGAAAGATATTATGCACTAGACTCCGTCAGAATGAACAATTTATCATAAGAAGTGGCGACAGAGCCTCTTCACATCATTTTCCCCGTCGTGTCATCCTAAATTCCGACGGAAGTTGTGGTTATAATCAAAGTCATGGTCACAAAGATCTGCATACATCAATGCCTTGGTGGTTAAATGATTGTGTGACAAAAAGTTGTACATCCATGTCTTATTAAGACAAGACGATTCACTGAGTCTCAATATTTTCCTATGTAATTTTTGGTCCCAGACTGCGAGGCTAGTTTTGATCAAATCGAAAGTTGTATTAAATGTGTCCATATTTATGTACCACATTTTTCGTGTTTTATACGAACATTGAGTAATTTCCAGGCATATCTTCCTCTGATAAACAGAAACATCGGTTGTTTTAAATTGAAAATAACTTAGCATAGGGGCGAAAGATACCAAAGGGACATTCAAACTCATATAAGTCAACTACAAACTGACAAGCCCGACAACGCAATGGCAAAAATAAAACAAACGAAAAACGACGAAAAGACAAACAACAGTCATTTTGATTGGATAACGTCACCAATTTTCATGGCATCAATTCACAATTTTTCTCCAAAAGGAATGTATGAACGAAATACAAATTATTAGACTTGAAACAATTCTAAGGTATGGATTAACTTGTTTGTATTGAGTATAAAATGTCAGCAAATCCTCATTACAATAACAATCACCATATTCATGTTGGCTTCTGTATGGAATCGAATTGTTATTCTGAAAAGAACAATGACCTTTTCCTATTATTATACTAGCCTATGTTGACCGACTATCCCATTTATGAATTTGTCATTTTATGTTTTTCAAACTATCACATTACCGCAATCTTTTTTTTGCTGAGAAAAATGAAACGTTTGATGCATACTCTTTCGATTCTTCGGGGAATATTTACTACTATTTGGGTTTTTTTCCAAGGCTTATTTTTTGGTAAATTGATTCATCTACTATGCGTTGGCACATTTTCGCTAGTTAATTCTATTGTTTGCTAGTTTGATTCGTCATATCGGTTGCTAGCTGGATTCTTCTAATTGTTTACTAGCTTGATTCTTCTTATTGTTAGCTAGCTTGGTTTTTCCTATTGTTTCCTGGTTCGATTTTTCTTGTTGTTTGCTAGCTCGATTATTCAAAATGTTTACTAGCTTGATTCTTTCTATTGTTTGCTAGCTCAATTTACTTATTGTTTGCTAGCTTGATTTTTCTTATTGTTTGCTCGCTAGATTGAGTCTTTCTATTGTTTGATAGTTTGAGTGTTCCTATTGATTGCTATCTTGATTCTTCTATTGTTAGCTGGCTCGACTCTTCCTATTGTTTGCTAGCTTGGTTCTTCCTATTGATAGCTGGCTTGACTCTTCCTATTGTTTGCTAGCTTGATCCTTCTAATTGTTTGCTAGCTTGACTCTTTCTATTGTTTGCTAGCTTGACTCTTCCTATTGTTTGATAGCTTGATTCTTCCTATTGTTTCCTAGCTTAATTCTTCCTATTGTTTGCTAGCTTAATTCTTCTTATTGTTTGATAGCTTGATTCTTCTTATTGTTTGCTAGCTTGATTCTTCCTATTGTTTCCTAGCTTGACTCTTCCTATTGTTTGATAGCTTGATTCTTCCTATTGTTTGCTAGCTTGAGTCTTCCTATTGTTTGATAGCTAGATTCTTCCTATTGTTTGCTAGCTTGATTCTTCCTATTGTTTGCTAGCTTGATTCTTCCTATTGTTTGCTAGCTTGATTCTTCCTATTGTTTGCTAGTTTTAGTCTTCCTATTGTTTGATAGCTTGATTCTTCCTATTGTTTGCTAGCTTGATTCTTCTAATTATTTGCTAGCTTGATTCTTCCTATTGTTTGCTAGCTTGATTCTTCCTATTGTTTGCTAGCTTGATTCTTCTAATTGTTTGCTAGCTTAATTCTTCTAATTGTTTCCTAGCGTGATTCTTCTTATTGTTTGCTAGCTTGATTCTTCCTATTGTTTGCTAGTTTTAGTCTTCCTATTGTTTTCTTGCTTCAATCTCCCTATTGTTTGCTAGTTTGAATCTTCTTATTGTTAAAAAATGATAGCTTGATTCCTACTATTATTTGTTAGTTTGGTTCGTCTTATTGTTTGCTGGCTTGATTTTTCCTATTGTTTGCTAGTTCGATATTTCTCGTTGTTTGTAAGCTTGATTATTCTTAATGTTTGCTAGCTTGATATTTTGTATTGTTTGCTAGCTTGATATTTTGTATTGTTTGCTAGCTTGATATTTTGTATTGTTTGCTAGCTTGATATTTTCTATTTTTTGTCAGCTTGATTTTTCCTATTGTTTGCTTGTTCGATTTTTATTATTTTTGCTACCTTGATTCTTCGTATTGTTTGCTAGTTGGAGTCTGTTAAATGAACGTTTAAAGGACAATTTTTGTATCTGTATTACAAAAGCTAACAATAGTCGCTCGAACTAAATAATGCTGTTATTGTTTCCACTGCTAAGCATTTTAATTTTAGTTTTAAATATGCTGTGAATTTTTATTTTGTAACTCCTTAAGATCATAAAGATACCTCAAATCCATTAAACTTGAAGTTAATGATTTTATACATGCATGTAGTATTTATCATCCCATTCATGGATGTGACTGTGATAGTTAGTCATATTTGTCCTCAGGTACAACGGATGACAAAGGATTGAATGGATGCACCAACAAGGTAAATATTCGTTTTATGAATTTTCTCCCACAGTATAAAGATCAGAATAAATTCATTCATGTAATTTCGATGTGAGATGAGTAGATTTTAATAAGGATTTTGTCTATTTGTTTAAATATTCAAAATTGTCCAATCCCCCAGTTTAATTTAAGCATGGATTTTCTAGTGACAGGACAACATGCAGTGACTCTACATTCATAAATGCCTGGTTGGTCTAATGAGACGTTAAATGTCTTATGTATAATCACCATTTACATTCCTTTATTCTTATGAACCCTCAATAGTTTGTCAAGTGTCCAGAGCGACTCGTATCCTTCATATGTATGAAATGCATTTTGAAAGGCGTCATTTTTAAACGTGACCCATATGATTTAGTATAACAGATTTTTTTATAATTAGATTTAAGAATGCTCAACTTGTTTGTCTCTTATACTAGTAGTATCCAATTTGTAGCCCTATCAGTTTATTTTTTTTCCTTTTTTTTTTATAACAGATCACTTATTGAAATGGATAAAGAAAACAAAATTTCAAATTTTTCATCAGACATCAGATGTAGTCCATGTTTATTTGAAGGGAAAACAAACCATGCAATCAAGTGGTGTAAAGAATGTCAAGAAGGTCTCTGTAAGGATTGTTTAGATAATCATAGAGCACTTGTTTCCGCAAAGAAACATAAAGTGATTCCAATCCAAGAGTACGTTTTAACCTTAACCCATATATCACCATCAGAGGTAAATACGAACTGTGCCGACCATGGACGGAAGTTAGAATTGTTTTGTCCAGCTCACGATGAACCGGTTTGTACTATATGCATTCCTGAAAAACATCGGCATTGCGAGAATTTCATTCCTATCAAGGAAATAGCAGAACACTGGAAGCGTTCAGAAGCTTTCCAGGACATTAAGAACAGCTTGTCAGACACAAAGCATAACATTGACAATATAATAAGTACCTGTTTGGAAAATAAAACCTCTTTGACTTTGGGCAAGGCTTCAAAACAACAAGACATGAAAGCCTTGCGTCGTAGGGTTAATGAATATCTAGATGGACTAGAGATTAAAATGCTACAGAACATGGAAGAAAGATACAAAGATTGTATTAAGGAAATAAATAGTTCACTTACAGATATAGAACACTACAAAACAGATATTTTAAAACTTAACAGTGAAATCGATCGTATGAAAAATTTAACATCAAAGGAAAAATGTTTTCTCGGAACACGGAACATTGAAAAAAAGATTATAAAATTAAAGAGAAATTTAGAAAATCGGATGGATGACATGAGAAAATTTGAAATATCATTGTCATTTGACCCTATTTTTGCATCATTAAGAACAATGACTGCATCGTTGGGGACAGTGCAATTTGAAAAACTCCCGATGTCGGTGGAAATGCGAGATTGTAAGCATCGACAGGCCCAAATTCCAATTCCAAGACCACATTCGACGCAGGCAAACACTATTTTATCCCAAAAACAAAAAATAGAAGTTCTACCAAATATGCAAAATCATCTTGTAACAGGTTGTTTAATACTTCCAAATGATTTATACTTGTTTGTCCATCGGAATGGAAACTACCTCGTTATACAAGATAAAACTGGAAACGTAAATAGTACAGTTAGTATTTCTGGTAGTCCGTATGATGTAGCTATACTTGAGGATAAACACATGGTCATTTCATATGGATCTTTAGCTTATATTGAGGTTGTTGATCTTTCTAATGACCAGCTGACAAAACGAATGCCTGTTAATGGACATTGTTCTGGTATCTGTTGTTTTCGCGGAATTATTTATGTTGCTGTACGACAAAAAGGTATATGTACTTTATCTATGGGTAAAAATGTCAACATTCTGATCAGATGCATCACCTTTGATGTTGGGTATGTGGCTGCTTCAAGCGAAAAACTGGTATATACCGACAGTAAACATAGATCAGTCCATTGTCATGATCTTCTTGGAGTAGAGTTATGGAATATAATGCTTAATGACATGCAATGTCCTCGTGGTGTTCAAATTGATATAAGGGGTAACATATTGTTCTGTGACAGTAAATCAAATAATGTAACACGTGTGCTCTCGGACGGAACAAAAAGACAAATTCTACTCGAAACATCTTCTGACTTAAAAGAACCATTCGGATTACACCTTGACGAAAGCAGAACACATCTTTTAATTTGCAACTTGTCTGACGGGCGTGCATTTTCGTTTAATGTGAAGTGAAATACTCTGTTTAACTCATCATAAGTCATATTTTTGGTTTAGATTTGTGCCATGAAATTAAAAGTTGGGTACGAAATGCATCAAACACATTTTTATTAGATTTCCAAAATGAAGACAACCCACTGAAGTCTTAATTCTTAAAAATAATGAAGTAGATCCCGACATTTGCTGTACATGTAAAGGCTCATCAAATATCTGTTTTTTAGCCTTGGTAGTTTTATGTCTCATTGACGTTTTGTATTCTACATGCAAGTTGCATACTACACATGTTATGAAATTAAAAGTAAAATCGAAATGCATCAAACACATTTTTATTAGACTTCCAAAATGAAGACAATTCTCTAATGTCTTAATTGTTGTCTATTCAAGAACATTGTTTGTTGCATTAGCCATTGGTCGTCTATTCAATGTTGAATTGATTCTACACTTGAAAAACAAAATGCAGGATGAAGTAGATCCCGTCCGAAAGTCTTTAAATGTTTTTTTTTTAGTCTTGGTAGTTTTCTGTCTCATTGACGTTGACCCCGACCAAACTCCATTTACATTGTATTCTCGATGATTAAGTTGCATACTACACATGTATACATTTGGTTTGTTAACAACATTCAGTACCGGTAGCATATTTCCTGAACTCACTGGTTATGGACGTTTTGTCACTGACTAACATCATTCGCCAAGAAGTAAGTTCACAATAAATTAATTTATATCTAGAATTACAGTCCTCTATTAACGATATTTTAAGACTCTGTTCCACAAATCAGATCTTGAAAATATTAAGTATTTAAAGTCTACGGCAATCTGATCTGATTGTCTGACTTAAAACGCATTAGAGTTATCGCACTTATGTCGTTTTTTTTCTAATTTATGGCGGCTTTTTTTATGCAGTGTCATAAGAAAGTAAATGTAAAACAACAACATTAGCGGTACTAATTTTACAACACCAAATGCGCGTTCCTACAAAAATTGTATCTTCCGGCCAATTTATTTGAAATAGCTGAAATTTATATAAACATTGAAGAGATGATTAAACCAAAAAAGGACCTAAAGTCAAGTAGTAGCTATCAATTTCTAGATTTTTGTCACGATATGAAACAAGCCTAGCTGTATCCAATATTCAATCTTTTTATTTATCCAAATTCATCTTTGGTTGATATTTTTACAACAGTTTTGCCACATTTCTTCTAATTTTATTGTATTATGAAAAAAAAAAATTCGAATCTGGTTTGTGCTATTCAAAGTAATTGTACAAATGTTATGACTTTAAAACAAATACATGGATTTTTATTAAGTTTTATCGAAACCATCATTCGTATTTTGGTGTTGTGTTTGCAATATATTTTATATTGTGTATAGCGGAGATCGGGAATAGGTTCTCATATCTATATTTTAAGGCATCACTAAATCTTCTTCATCTTTATATTTGTCAGTTCTCTTTTCAACGGATCGCTGATCGACAACATAACTATATACTATTACTTGGAGATAAAACTTATGCTTCAAAAACATATTACTCAAATATACCAAACGTTTATTAAATGGGGATTGCCTTACTGTGAAAACATATAAAAAGTTTGTTTGTTCACATTGAATAAGTATTTTATCTTTGAAAGTCCATGTTAAATGTAATGTTGTGCTCCGTAAAACACTAAATATATGTACAGGAAAATTCAATTAACAGCTAATCGTAAGCAATGATATTTATTTGCGAGATGTATAAATTCGCAGTCACGTCTGGTCAGACTGGGAACGTTTTATCTGATGTCTCGTGTAGAGAGAGTGCCACGCTCTCTGCACGTTAAAGACCCTTGCAACAACTTTTTGAGGGGTCCATAGATGGTCTATTGCAGGGCTAAATTCCTGCCCATTTACAAACACACCCGCATTATCCAGTGGTCTTCCAAATTTTCCGCTCTTCATCTTGGTCGACCCATATTGCAAAAATTCCTATTGTATTAGTTGCTTAAAATTTTTCTTGTCTTGTTCATGCATGCAAAATTTCTCACTGGGCGTTAAACAAACAACAAATAATCAATATCAATTGTTATTTTATATTTTTCCTAAGTATGATTGAAATATTTGTCACTGTACGTAAAGCGTCAACAGTAAACCGTGTAGTATCGCTTAATTAAATTAACCAAGATATGAGAATAGGGGAATAACATGGATGTTTTAATTAGCGAACAAAAGATGGTGTAATTTCTGTTAAAAGGTGTTTCTTTTTTTACTTTTTTTTTGGGGGGGGGGGGGGTGGTATTTTCGTTGTTTTTTGCTTGTTTGTTTATTGTTATTTGTTTTGTGTGTTTGGTTTTTTTTTACAAAAGTAAGGTAAGAACGAAATACAAGTTGTAAGACTTGAAACAATTCTAACGTATGGATTAACTTGTTTGTATTGAGTAAAATGTCAGCAAATCCCCATTACAATAACAATCTCCATATTTATGTTTTCTTCTGTATGGAATCGAATTGTTATTCTAAAAAGAACAACGACCTTTTCGTTTAATTTTACTAGTCTTTGTTGACCGGTTTTCCCATTTTTGGAGTAAGGGGAGTTTGTTTATTCAAATTATCATTTTGCGAAATTTTTATTTTCTCTCTGAGTAAAATGGAATGTTTGATGTATACTCTTTTGAATCTTCGGGGAATATATTCTACTATTGGGGCTGTTTTTAAGGTTTTATATTTTGGTAAATTGATTCATCCTACTATTTTGTAACACATTTTCGCTAGTTAATTCTATTGTTTGCTTTTTAGCTGCATTCTTCCAATTGTTTGCTAGCTTGATTTTTCATTTTATTTGCTAGCTTGATTCTTCTTATTGTTTGCTAGCTTGATTCTTCTTATTGTTTGCTAGCTAGGTTCTTTCTATTTTTTGCTAGCTCGATTCTTCTTATTGGTTTCTGGCTCAATTCGTCCTATTGTTTGCTAGCACGATTCTTCCTATTGTTTGTAAGCTCGATTCTTCCTATTGTTTTCCAGCTTGATTTTTTGTTGTTGTTTGCTAGCTTGAGTCTTCCTATTGTTTGCTAGCTTGAGTCTTTCTATTGTTTGCTAGTTTGAGTGTTCATATTGTTTGCTAACTCGATTCTTCCTATTGTTTGCTAACTTGACCTTTCTTTTTGTTTGCTAGTTTGAGTTTTCTTATTTTTTGCTAGCTCGATTCTTCCTATTGTTTACTAGTATGAATTACCCTATTGTTTGCTATCTTGAATCTTATTATTATAAAACAAATTGCTAGCTTGATTCTTCTTATTTGTTGCTTGTTTGAATCTACTTACTGTTTGCGGGTTAAGTCTGTTAAATGAAAAAAGGACATTATTTGTATCGTTATTATTTAGTCGTTCGAACTAGATAATGATGTTGTTGTTTCCAACGCTAGGCATTTCAATGTTAGCTTAAAAGATGCTATGCATTTTTATTTTGTAACTCCTTCAGATTATAAAAAAATACCCCCAAAGCCTATAAACTTGCAGTAACGATTTTATATATTTATCATCCCATTCATGGATTTGACTGTGTTAAATTAGTCATATTTGTCCTAAGGTACAACGGGTAACAAAGGATTGAAGGGATGCACCAACAAGGTAAGTATTCGTTTTATGAATTTTCTCGCACAGTATAAAGAGTAAAATAAATGTATGCATGTAATTTCCATGCGAGATGGGGAGATTTTAATAAGGGTTTTTTCCTATTTTTTTGGCATATTAAAATTACCCAATTTCTCACTTTTATTTAGACACTGGTTTTCTCGAGACAGGACAGCATGCAGTGGCTCTACATTTATAAATGTTTGGTTTGGCTAATGATACTTTTAAAGTCTTGTGTATAATCAACCTTTAACTTCCCTTTATTTCAATGAACCTTCAGTGCTTTTCAAGTGTTCAAAGCGACTCATATCCTACACATGTGAAATGCTATTTGAAACGCGTCATTTTTAAACGTAACCCCCGTGATTTAAAGTAATAGTATGTTCATCTTGTTTGTCTTTTCCTGTTATGGTATATGATTTGATATTTTTTTGTATTTCTTTTATAACAGATAACTTATTTAAAAGGACGAAGAAAACAACAGATCAAATATTTCATCAGACATCAGATGCAGTCCATATTTATTTGAAGGGAAAACAAACCATGCAATCAAGTGATGCAAAGAATGTCAAGAAGGTCTCTGTAAGGAATGTTTAGATAATCATAGGTCACTTGTTTCCATGAAGAAACATAAAGTTATTCCAATACAAGAGTACGCGTTAACATTAACACATGTATCACCATCAGAGGTAAATACGAACTGTGCTGACCATGGACGAAAGTTAGAATTGTTTTGTCCAGCTCACGATGAACCGGTTTGTACTATATGCATTCCCGAAAAAACATCGGCATTGCGAGAATTTCATTCCTATCAAGGTAATAGCAGATCACTGAAAGAATTCAGAAGTTTTCCAAGATGTACAGAACAGGTTGGCTGACACTAAAGATAACATTGAAAATATAATATAAGTAGTTGTTTGGAAAATAAAATATCTTTGTCTTTGTGCAAGGCTTCGGTGGAAAGGTTAACAAATATCTAAATGAACTAGAGATTAAAATGCTACAGAACATGGAAGAGGGATACAAAGATTGTATAAGGGAAATAGACAGTTCAATTACAGATATAGAACAGTATAAAATAGATATTTTAAAACTTAACATGGAAATCAATTGTATGAAAAAATTCACATCAAAGGAAATATGTTTTCTAGGAATATTGAAAATAAGATTATAAAATTACAGAGAAATTTAGAAAACAGGATGAAAGACATGAAGAAATATGAATTATCAGGGTCATTTGACCCTATTTTTGAGTCATTAAGAACAATGGCAACATCGTTAGGGGCAGTGCAAATTGATTACCTCCAAATGGCGATGGAAATGCGTGATTGTAAGCAACGACAAGCCCAAATTCCAATTTTAAGACCACACTCGACGCAAGCAAATACTTTTTTATCCCAAAAGCAAGAAATAGCAGTTCTACCAAATGAGCAAAATCATCCTGTAACAGGTTGTTTGATACTTCCAAATGATTTATACTTGTTTGTTCATCGGAA